TAGATGTCGTCGCCCTATCTGGCTGACCCCCGTTTGCGTTGACCCCCGTCTCAAGGCCCCCGATTTCGCCGACGGTCCCTTTCGCCGGCGCCCCGTTGGCTTCGCGGGCGGAGCCGGCCGCGGTGTCGGTTCCGCCCGCGAAGGTCGACCGCCAGCGAGATCGCTCCTCTCTGGCGGAGCCGATTCGTGGCGAAGCCGAGTCGTGCCACCCCACCTGCGAATGTCTCTCGTGTTCCATCCATTTCCATCCCCGTTCCACCCGTCCCCGCTTCCGCTGTTTCAGGGGCGGCAGGAAATCCGCGTGGCAGGCGAGGAAGGTGTCCCCCCCAGGGCGGTACGGTCGACGACGAAAAGGGCGGGCACCGAGGGTTTGGGATAGACGTGTTGAGTGGCACGCGAACAGATAGAAGCGAACAGTCTTAAAATGTTTGCTGGTGTTTTCTCAAGTTCTGAAAAATGATTTCAGTTGATGTCTCCATCTGGTGGGCACTGTATTTTTCTATTGAGGTGCTCCTCCTGAGTCTCGCACCCGGTCTTTTTATTACGGAAATGGTGATGCCCCAGTTTGCAACAACAGCCGTTCGCGCTCTCGCGCGGGACGTCCTCACAATGTATAAAGGAATCGCGCTCCCGCGTGGGATTTCATCTCAATCTATTCAGACACCGCGCCATCGGCACTCACGAATCACGCTCTCGCTTTGGCCTATCTGACGATTTACTTGGGAATCGCGCTATAGATCGACACTTCCTCGCGATTCATGCAGGACTCACGCTTCAGCACCCCGCCTGCCCGACCTGGCCGCCTGGGCCCGCCTTCCCAACCCGCCCGCTGGTGTCTGCCCGCCCGATCTGCCCGTCTGGTTCTACCACGTGTTTTCTGATCCTAGGCCCCCCTCCTGGTAATCTCTCTCGTGTTCCATCCGTTTTCCTTCCCCCTGGACCCGTACTCTCTCTCTCTCTCTCTCCTTCTTTCTAGGAGCTGCGCTAAATGCGCGTGGCAAGTAAGGACGGTATACCCCCAAAGGAGCACGATCGAAGACGAAGAGGGTTGGTACCGAGGGTACGGGATTTACGTGCTGAGTGGCACGCGAACAGATCGGATCGAGCTGTCTTAAAACGATTGCTGTTTTCTCATATCTAAAGAACATCTAATGTTGATCCACCCTCCGGTGGCAATTGTATGTTGCAGTTGAAATGCTCCTCCTGGGGCTCGCACCCTGTCTTGAACAGAGGAAAGCTGGGTGTCATCAAGGAAGTTGTTGGCCTCCAGCTTACAACAACAGCGGCTCCCGCATGATACTTCCTCACCACGTATTCCGAAATAGCGTTTTCGCGCGGGACGTCCTCACAAGTTATGCAGGAATCGCGCTCTCACGTGTGACTTCCTCGCAACTCATTCAAACGCCATGCCATCGCCACTCAGGAATCACGATCTCGATTTGGCCTCCCTCGCGACTCACTTGGGACTCTCGCTTTCGGTTGACACCTTGCGATTCATGCACGTCTCCCGCTTCAGCACCCCGCCTGCTCGACCTGGCCGCCTGGGCCCGCCTTCCCAGCCCGCTCGCTAGGGATTGCCGGCCCGCTCTGCCCGTATGGTTTTGTGTTTTCTGCTCCTCGCCCCCACTCCTGCGAATCTCTCTCGAGTTCCATCTATCTCCCTCCCCCGTCCATACGTATTTACCTTCCCTGTTTCACAGGCTGCGCCAAACACGCGTGGCAGGTAAGGAAGGTATACCCCCAAGGGGTCGATCGAAGACGAAGAGAGCTGGTACGGAGGGTATGGGAGACACGTTTTGACTGGCACGCGAACAGATAGGAGTCAACAGTCTGAAATTGATTGTTGTTGTTGTTGCTGCTGTTCTTGTTGGCGTTATGGTTGTTGCGCCCCCATCCTTGAAGAATGCTTAATGTTGATCCCCCCACACCAGGGCACATTGTATGTTTCAATTGAGTTGCCCCCACTCGGGGCTCGCACCCTGTTTTCTTCTCAGGGAAGACCTTCCTGGGCCCCTGGCCCCTCCTGATGCTGTCTCACCATGTATTCCGAAATCGCGCTCTCGCTTGGGACATCCTCACACTGTTCGCAGGAATCGCGCTCTCGCGTGGGACTTCCTCACAACCCATTCAAACCCCACGCCCTCGACACCCAGGAATCACGATCTCGATTTGGCTTTTCCAATGGTATATTTGGGAATCGAACTATCGCTCGAGACTTCCTCGCGATTCATGCATGACGCACGCTTCAACAATCTGCCTGTTCGACCTGAGCCCGCCTTCCCGACTCGCACGCTAGGGTCTGCTGGCCCGATCTGCCCGTCTAGTTCTGCCACGTGCGTTCTGCTCCTAGCCTCCTCTCCTGCCACTCACTCTCGTGCTCCATCCTTCTCTCTCCCCCTTTCATCCGTCTTCTTTTCAACTGCTTGAAGGGGCTGCGCTACATGCACGTGGCAGGAAAGGAATCGATGCCCCAACAGGGTACGATCGAAGACGAAGAGGGCGGGTACCTAAGGCTTGGGGTATACGTGTTGGATGGTACTTAAGCAGACAGTCGCGAACATAGTTAAAATGATAAATGTCTGCTCTTGTTGTTGTTGTTGGTGTTGTTGTTGCGTTCGTCGTCGCCGTTGTTGTTGAGTTCTCACTTCTGAAAAATAAGTATGGTTGATCCGCCCCTCCGGTGACCTGCCCATTGTTCCAATGAAAGTGCTCCTCCTGGGGCTCGCACCTTGTTTCTTACAAAGGGAAACGAAGGGTCACCACACTGGGCCCCTGCCCCCGGTTTACAGCAGCAACAACAACAACAATAAGAACAACAACGGCTCCCGCCAGAAACTTCCTCACCATGTATTCCGAAATAGCGCCCTCGCGCGGGACGTCCTGAAATGTATGCAGGAATCGCGCTCCCGCGTGGGACGTCCTCTCCATATAATCACGCTCTCGCTGTGGATTTCACAGACGATTATTTTGGGAATCGCGTCGCGCGATCGCTCGAGACTTCCTCGCGATTCATGCAGGACGCACGCTTCAGCAACCCGCCTGCGCCTTCCCGACTCGCGCGTTAGGGTCTACCCGCCCGATCTGCCCGTCTGGTTCTGCCACGAGCTTTCTGCTCCTAGCCCCCCTCCTGCTACTCTCTCTCGTGCTCTATCCTCCTCCCTCCCCCTGTCCCTTCCTTCCATCCGTCCTCTCTTCCCTGCGGGCTGCACGAAATATACGTTGCAGGTGATATATATATATATATATATGTACATATATACATATACACACATATATTCACACACCTAAGGGGGTACGATCGAAGACGAAGAGGGCGGGTATCGAGGGTTTGCGATATACGTGTTGAGTGGCACGCGAGGAGATAAGAGCGATCCATATTAAACTTATTGATGTTGTTGTTATTGTTGTGGTTGTTGTGCTTGTGGTTGTTGTTGTGGCTATTGTGGTCGTCGTCCTTACCCGCGAACCGCACACGACCCATCCTGCAAACCACCCCGCGACTCACCCGCGACCCACCCGCGACCCGCCCCGCGCCCGCCCCCTCACTACTATCCGCAACTGCGGGGTGCTCAGTACGGTCGCACCCAGGACAGAATAACGTCCTTCAAGAACATAAGACCCTCGGCAGGCCCAAACTGAAGAACATCTGAGGATGCCCCCCTCCCAGGATGCACAAGCACACCCGACACGAAGAGCATGAATTAGGGTACCCTCCCCGACCCGACCCCGATCTTCTACCTCGGTCCGGCTGCACACGTCGTTCATTTCTAATCGTGCTCAATCTCCAACTGTGCTCGCCTCGAATCGTTCCTGGCCCCGCAGTGGCCAAGAAGAGGCCCAGGCTGGAAGAACTAGAAGGGAAAGGACCCTGGCCCCCCAAAGGTCCAAGAACCCTCGAACCATTCGAAATGAACCATATACAGGGCAGTTTTTAATGCATAGGACGTTAAACTATAAGATTCTAAATGCATGATTAGTTTATGAATGAATGTATGCATGAACTCATCGTTGCTTTTAGTACTAAATCCCTGCATGTTTAATTCATGATCCGCATGCGGAGCATGTATTGAAAACGGCACTGTAGTGCGTGGAGGCCCCGCCTCGAAAGCGTTGGCAGCTCTCGGGGGCCTAGCTGCCCCGATACGCAACACGCAGCACGTACCGTACCGACACGGAGCTCAACACGCAGGCTGAAAACGTGGGTCCGACGCGATGCATTCGCCAAAACGTGGTCCAATGCGTGGAGCCAACACGCAACGTATTGACACGGACGTCTTGAACACGGGACCTGTTGCGTTCCAAAACGCGCGCATCGAGGCAACTAAGCTCGGGGGCGCACTCCGTATCCTGGATCGAAGCTGTTACGGCTCGGTCATTTCTGCACCGGGCCACAGGACGCGTAGCCCGACTCCGCTTGTTTCGTCCCTCCCCGGTCTCGTTTGTCTTAACGAGGCTTGGCTTGATTCTTCTTGCCAGCATCAGGGTCTCACTAACTTTTCTGCTCTTGCCCGCAGGGATCGCCAGGCCTTCCTATCTTTCCGCCCAAGAACCCTCAACCAGGACTCTTCGTGCGGGGCCGGAACTAAAACCTGCCGGTATCGGCGCATCTAAGGAGCTATACTGCAGGCGGAAGGTCCCACGACAGGAGCACAAGAGTCAGATGGTGGAGCTGCACCACCGCCGTCCGCAGGCCTTGGGTCACGCGCGCGGCGGAAGCATCGCGATGCGCGGCTACCTTCATACACCCCGCAGGAAGCTGCCTGCCCTGAAGGCACAACTGGGCGAAGGCCCCAGCGTAGGCCTTGTAGCCCGAGGGCTGCCCCGCCTTAGATGTGCAAGCCTGCCAAACAACATTCAGACAATCGGACTCGGCTCGAAACTCAGCAGAAGCCAAAACGACAGCCCAACTCCTTCGATCCTCCAAGGCGAGGCCCTTTCTGGAGCGCCCCACGTACCCGCCCTGCAGGCTCAGTCCATACGTGCGCTCCCGCCCCGAGAACCTCGAGAACGTCGGCTCGGACGAGATCCATCAGCGAGCCCAGGTCACTCTGCATGTACACGGCCACTACCTGGGCCCAATTGACTGTCACTTTGGGCGGCTGGCCCTTGCCCGCGCTGATCTTCACGTCCAGCAGTTTGCCCTGTGCCTCGCAAGGGGGGCTGCACAAACCATTACGTAGCACCATAATCTCCGCTCGCAAGGGCGGCGCTCGGAATCCGCACTCGAAGGTTCGAACCCGATAATGCCACCGAGGAGGTGACGCGGTGGGGGAGCGGGTGAGAAGCAGAACGCCGGCTGAAAAGAATAGGCAGAAGCTTGAGATGATGAGGCGATTCGGTGGATTGGGCTCGACCTGGCACAGGAAAAGGAAGGCATGAGGAGGCCCTTTCGACCTTTTGAATGGGCAAGCGCGTAACGAAGGCAAAGCCAGGACCAGAAGAAAATCGGACCCGAACAAATCGGGGATTTTTGAGATCAGGCGGTTCTGGAAGATGTATCGGGCGCCGCGGCCATTCCAAAGCGCTCCAGAATGCGCTGAGAGCGTTCCAGAATGCTCTGGGGTGATTTATCCCGGTCCTAGACCCGCCCGATTAGAGAAGGTTGGGATGTGGAAATCTTCAAACAAATCAAAAGGCTGGGACCCCAATTAGTGGAACACTTTCTATTGTATGGGCGCACTGCCTGGTTTTCCTTGGCACTGTTTGGCATTACGTGCTTGGCACTGCTTGGCATTGATTGACATGTATTGGAATTGATGAACATTGCTTAGCATTGCTTGGCATTGTTGTGCGTTGCTTGGCGTTGCTTGACTCTGTTCGGCATTGCCTGGGATTGACTTGCGTTACTTGGCAGCCCGTGGGTGACTCTTCGAACCAAAGGAAAGAAGCAACACGAAGGAACCCGAGGAGCCCGGGCAACCCAGGCAAGGCCGGCCGTCAAAAATACATCAACAAAAAACAAGGCCAAGGAACCCGAGGAACCAGAAAAACTCCGGCCAGAGTAGGCCGCACACCCACCGGCCAGTCGCAAACAGATGAGGACTTCTGAGGCAAAACCCACTCGGGCGACGAAGTGAGAGGGCTCACGCACGACGGCATAGCGACCTCACGCAGTGTCTCACGCGGGTCGCCATCGTGCCACACCGCGTGGAGGCGAGGGCGATTGCGCGCGAGCCTGCGCGGGAAGCTTGCGCGCCAGTGTCGGTGAAGGCGAACCCGTTGCCCTTCGCCGCTCGAGAGAGTAAGTCCTGAGGCACAGAGCTCAATTTGGACAAGCGCGTTCCACGACTCGCAAAATAGCTACTCGCACATGGCCTGGATCCGCCGCAGGGGATTCACGTATCGTTTTGTCGGACGTTTGCGAGTAGGCACTTTGCGAGCATAACTGGAACGCGCTCGGTGACACTTGTGGAACGTGCTCTCCGAGAGCTGCTTGTCGCTGCCCGTGCACGCGGGCGGGCACGCCGGCTGACTCCATCGCCTTGGGGACTGCAGGGGCCGGGGGAGCCACGAGCACATCGACACGAGCGTCAGGATCCCCTGCCCCTGTGCACAGTTTCTGGGTGTTGGCCTTCCCTTCCACTTCCCATACTGTCATGGTTTTCCCCGGGAGCCAACTACCGTGGATGTAAACAATTAACGCGAAAATTATTCATAACATTGGATTTCGCCATTCAAAGGCCGCGAGTTCCACGTAGGGCAAGATCGGCAGCTGCCCGCGAAAATGTAAACAATAAACGCGAAACACGGAAGCATTTTTTTTCAACCTGGGGCCGTTCATGCCTAGCTTGCGTTCCATATCTTTGAATGGCGGAATTCAATGTTACCGATGGGTTTCGCGTTAATTCTTTACATCCACGGTATTATTCGTGTCTGCGCCTAGTTTTCCCTCCTCGGGGACGCCAGGGTCGGCGTATCGGGGGAGCCCCGCGCAAGCTTCGGCTGAGATCTCTGCTCCCAGAGGGGTCGGGGCCCCCCGGCTCCCCACGCTCGCCCTCCCAGGAGGGCCCAGAATCGAATCGATGAGTCGAGTCGGCGATCGAGATGCACCGGATCGGCGGGCATCGTCCGCCGAGTTGGGAAAAGCCGAAGCGGCAGACATCGGCAGGCCAGGAGGCCTCCATGGAGAGATCGGCAGAACCTCCAGTCGATCGAATCGGATCGGAATGGGAAGCCATCGAAATCCAATCGTATCGAGTCGGAGGAATCGAAGTGAGCCCTGCGCCCCCCCCCCCTGTGGCCACCCCAGAACGCCGCCAGGGCTTTGGTTGCGGACTGCGGCGCGGGTTGCGCGGTGAGCCTGTCGGCAGAGGCGGGCACGCGGCTCTCGCAGGGCATGCGTGGCATAGCAGCTCTGCACGGGCCACCGGGCGAGGCAAGACCCTGGCCATCGCTCGGACGTCCATTTCCTGTGTTTTTGTCGGTTTCGTGCGTGGCCTTTTCGCCAAATGATCAGGGATGCTCCTCGATAATCCTCGCCGAAGGAAAAATGCACACGTCCGAGCGATGCCAAGGACCAGCACAGCACGAACGGACCCCCACGTCAGAGCGGACGGGACGCGTCGAACGGCAGCAGGAAGGGAGGAAAGCAGGGAGGGAAAGGAAGCAGGGAGGGAGGAAAGCAGGGAGGGAGGCGTCGAACGGCAGCAAGAAGGGAGGAAAGCAGGGAGGGAAGGGAAGGGAAGGGAGCCCAGGGGAAGGTGGAGGGGACGTAGGGCCCATCAGGGAGGGGCAACGGCAGGGGAGCAGCGGCCTCCTCCCCGAAGCCGAGATGGGCACGGGCCGAACCGCACAGCACCCGCTGCTGGCGCTGTGAAAGAGGCCGCCAGCACCGGAGAAGGAAGAGGAGGCCAGACCTGGTGGCAAAAAGAGGAGTTACCCACAAGGAAGACGGACGGAGGAGATGGTGTAGGAGGAGGAGGAGGAGGAGGAGGAGGAGGAGGAGGAGGTGGTGGTGCAGAAGGAGGAGGAGGAGGAAAAAGAATCCTCCCCTCCTTCTCCTCTTCATCCTCCTCTCCCGCCTGCTTCTCCGCCTCCTCGCCATCGCCATCGCCCTCCTCCATGCATTCCAACCCCCTTTAGAACCTGGCCCACAGACCTCTCCATGGGTTTCGCTCTGGCAAGGATATCGCAGGCAATCGGCCCTCGGCGACAAAAAACTCGATCCTCGATCCTCTAAGCTCTCGACCCCCTCGACCCTCGATCCTGCTCCTCCTCCTGCTCCTCCTCCTCCCCCTCGTGTCCGGCGCCCGCGCGCCTGTTTGGGGGACAGGACGCGCCGGCGGCCGATGTCGACGCTGACGCTGTCCAGGGAGAACGCCCCCTTCCTCGGAAAGTACCCCCCGCCTCCCTAGATCCCCGAGTCCTTCGCCGCCTCCAACCGTGCCCCTCTTGGACGGCGCCGCTCTCCTCAGAAGCTTCCGCCACGCCGTCCTGAACGGGCTCTTCTGCGTCCTCCTCCTCCTGCTCCTCCGCCTCCTCCTCCTCGTCCTCCTCGACCACATCCCCGTCCAGCAGGTTCCTCGTGTTTCTCCTTTTCCTGCCCCTCCCCTTCCTTGTCCTCGTCCTGTTCCTCCTCCTCCTTTTCCCCCTCCTTCTCCTCCTCAACCTCCTCCTCCTCGTCGCCCTCGAGGACGAATAACCTGCGGGGGAGATTGGAGGATAATGAAGGAGAACAGGGGAGGCTAAAATGGAGGAGGCGCATCGTCAAAGGAGGGGGGAGGAGCAGGAGGAGGAACAGGAGGAGGTGGAGGAGGAGGAACAAGAAAAGGAGGAGGAGGAGGAGGAGGAAGAGACGAGACGAACCATGGGACCTGTCTGCCCGAGAGCCAGCACTGCACGGGATTCTGGGAGTTACTCTTGCTGGTGGCTCTCGCTAGTCGGCGCTCTCCCCCTCCCCCAACCCGAATCGCCGCCCTCCCCCTCCCGCGGCCGGAGCCTCGGCGAGGCAATGCTACAGTTGAGATGCTTGGAAGCTCTGCCTGCGCAGATGATGTTGGCACGCTCCCCTCCCAAGCTAACGTTCGTGCTGCTACCTCTGTCGGTATCAGTCCACGCTCCATGAAGGATGCAGATCTCTCACTCTGCTGCCACATAATTTGGCGCTCGCTGCTGATAATAGTTCGCGCTCCAATGGACCCCGCATGGCACTCCCGCGAAGCCTCTCCCCCCCTCCATCTCCCGGACCCGCAGGAGGAGGTCCTGACTCTGCTGGCCGATCGGACTGTGGACTGTGCCGATCGAAGTGCACGATGACCAGGCAGCGCTGATCCACCTCGTTCTTCTTCAGCAGCTTGAGACTGACATACTTCACCGCGGCCCCGAGCGACAGGTCGCTGCTGGTCGCCAGTGTTGGTCCAGAACTCCTCGGCGTCCGACTTCAACTGCTTCTCCTTCTCGGCGTTGTCCCCCTCCGCGAACTGGCGCGTCGCGATGTAGTGAATGCCTGCCACGAAAACGCGAAGGCGCGGCGGCCCCCGAGCTCCGTGACTGCGCTGGCCCAGCTGCCCTCCCGCATTCGGGCGGTCGGCCGGCGACTTGTTCTGGGTGTCGTGCTGCTTGCCCGCAGTGCTGAGAGCCGCTGAGAAGCCCTGCGCCACGCCCATCTCGAACGCGATGAACGCCGCCGCCGCGAGGTCCGACATGCCTCGGGTTGTGGCCAGTAGAAGACGAGCCGCCAGAAGCAGAAGTTTGGCGCGCCCGTCGTCGCCTTCGTTTGCCGTCGCCGCTCCTTTGCATCTTCTGGGGCGAAGCTCCTCCTCCCGAGCTCGATGATGCGCCTCCCGTAGTCGCTGTTGGGTTGAACCGCGACGGCATCTTCAGCTCCGACATGGCCCCCGCCGCCAGTGGATCTCTCACGCGGAAAAGGTTTCGGTCGATATTATTTAATTTTCCCAGGGTGGGGGGGGGGTCCAAGTCCGCAGCTGCGTGGCGACGCAAAGGACAATCGCGCCAATCTGGGGAGGCGGGCGGCGGGCGGCGACGGCCCCCCCCCCCCCCCCCCCCTCGTTGAACAGTTGCCTCGAAGGACAGGCCCAGGGAGATGGCGAGCAGCGGTCGCTGTCGTTGAGAATGTTTGCATACAGCGTGCACATTTGTTGCACGGCGCTACTGCAGCAGGGATGTTTCCTGCATGATGATGTGCTCGCATATGAGTTAGCTACGCTGTTCGGTCATGACGTACTGCATGGCGCTGGTTGCCCCCCTCATCTGCGATCTAGCACCTGTAGTTCCCCCCCCCCCCCCCCCCCGCCGCATCCTGCGCTGGGCCCTCCGCCTCGCCCTCCGCCCTCGCAGTCGCTGCGACAGACATGCGCGCGACAGGGAAGGAATGCGCGCCCCGAGCTCTCTAGCCTTGAGCTCCGCGAAGCCGACGTTTACAAAGTCCTCGGCGGCCTCTGAATCAGCTGGGATGCGAAACTCTGCGAGCAGCACATCAACCGCATGATATCCCAAGTGCTCCGATGCAACATCCAGATCCCGAACTAGTCGAGACGCCCGCGGGGAGGCGGCTGCAGTCGGGGATATATCCCTAAGTTGAGGTTCGGACCCCCAGCCTCTCTACAACTGCGACCGCGCCGAGCATCGCGAAGGGAGGCCGAACGTGCCAGGTCGGACGAGCGGCCCACGACCGGTAGAACTTCAGACGGCGGATGAGGAGTTCGGTTCTGCATCCGGCCAGACGCCCGTAGCGCGGCACTGGCGCATTGCCGAGGGGGCGAACGGCACCGCCCTCTCGTTCGTCGGCGGCAGCCCCCCTCGTAGCAATTCGACGCAGCGGCGGCCAAACGCCGATAAAGGCATGCATGATCACTTTGCTGGAGGACGAGGGGCCCGAGACCGTTTTTTTCGCGCATCGAAAACCTGACCCCGCAACGCAGCGCGACGCCAATGGTGGCATAATGTCAATGACTATACCAACCCCAGAAGATAAAGCATCCTTCTGCGCCATCCCACAACGTCGGTTTACCGCGCGATGTCCTGCGCCCCGAAACTTTCGAAAAGTCACATGATGACGAGCGCAATCTGAAACCGCCCCCCAATAATGTCGATCAGCATGCCCGAAGCGTGCGACGCGCGTGATAGTCGTGATGTGCGTGCGAAATGGAGCAATGGATCATGCTTGCTTATGTTCTGCCCATATCCATATGGCTCTAGCCCCTTTCATCAAGTAGACCATCCACCTTCACCATGTCATCTAGGCAGCCCCATAACGCACTGCCCCTAGCTGCCAATGTCATCTTCTGGAGATCGCCCGCATACTACGTCAAATTCAAGTCTGCAGACAAGCCAGCCCGGAGGAGGCGAGATTTCGCGCCCTCGCATCAGCCTGCGCAAGAGCACAGCTCCGATCTAGCACTGCTCTCGACAACGTGCCCGTAAACCCCGCGCAGTAAAAGGGTCGCGCGAGGAGTGGGCCCTCCAGCGCGTCGAGCTCAATCATGGCCATGCGGCAGCGCTGACGACGGAGGTCTCGGTCGCGCCCAGCTGCCGCAAGAGAAACTGTCTGATCCAATTCAGACCAGGCCGAACATCTTCTGCAACAAGTAACCCCCAATCTTCTAGCCCGCCACCCTGTAGTTAATGCGCTTAGTACTGCATCCTCACGTCGTCGATGTTGTAGGAAACCATGGTCGGCCATCGTCGGAACAACCTTCAACTTGTAAGAGCAAAAGTTTGCCCGCGAATGGTAGGGCGTGAACAGCGCGGGGCCACTTGGGCCCCTCCTCCAGCTTCCTCAGGATGTTCGCGCCCCGGGACATGCCCCAATAAAACGGCATTTCCTGGCGCCCCCTCATCTTCGCCAGCCCCAGAACGAGCAGAAACCAAAACACCTGCGGTGATGCCAAATGTTTCTGCTCCAAGCCCAGCCCGCGCTCGAACGCGATAGTTCGGCCACGTGCATTGATGCCAGATCTCCAGGGGCGCGGCCCCTGCAGGAAGCGATTTTCTTGTGGGCGCCCGCCGAATACCATCTAACTAACAGCCTGAACATCCTTTTTATACTGCTCCAAAATCTCCTCATTCGAAACGTCGGGGTAGAGGGCCCCCGCGCCCGCCCTCGAGCCCCTCCAGCTGCCCCGGGGTTCTCCAACCACCTGCGCGCCCCTTTCTGCCCCAGACATGCCCCGCGCTGCGAATAAAGATTCGCCACTAGGAGGAGCACGGCGCACTAGACGACCATCGCGACGTCTGGGCTCGCACCGAGCACGGGCTGCACGACGAGCGAGTCGCGCGCCATCGGACGTGCGCCCTTGATGCCAAATATCCACCGCCTTTGAAGCAACCTGGGACCGAAGCCCACGCGTCATTCGGCGTCGACCCAGGTAAAACTGGTGAGTCAACTCCTTCAACTCCTGATCTATACGAAAGACCTCTTCGGGCGTTGCTCTGAACGCCCCGCTCCGAGAATGCACTCGCCGCGCCAAAGGAATCCGGCACTTCGAGCAGTCCGCTGAATAGGTCGGCCTCAGTTCACGAGCTCGAGCGAAACGAGCTTGACCTGACTCCATTAAAATGAAGGGGCCCCAGGACACACAAAGAAATACACACAAATAAAAGTATTCCCCATATTTTCTCATATGTTCTGGATTTCTGTCTTCCCCCCCACTTCCAATATTGTCCCATATTTTCTGGGGAATCGACGATTAATTGTGTCTGTGTGTTTCTTTCCCTCCTGATAAAACTCGCTCAAGCACCTCGAAGATCTCGTCGGGGGAAGCAGTCTCTCGAAACCGATGCAGACGGAGTCATTCGCCCCGTGCCTGGAGAGCTGCCGGGAGCTCTGCGCGCGCTCGGCCTCCTCGCAGCGATCACATCAGTCGAACAATCTCCCATGGCTCCTGCTGGGTACAGTGGGGGCGTTGACCTAAGGAACCCTAAAAAAGGAACGAGGCCTTTTTTCCATAAGATGAACTTCGATTTCCCATCGAAAACATGAAGAAAACCTGAGGCAAGCTGTGAAACACTTAAGGAACGCGGAGCCCCTCCCCCAACCAAAAGGGTTCCTTCTTCAGGGCCCCGACTGTAAGTTCGACCACTGCGCCTCCATGCTTCCCATCCCGTGTAGGACAGCCACCACAGGGATGTGATCTCTCGGAGAAGTTCCTTCGATGGCCTGCAGCTTAGCACCCAAACGATAGTGTGCCCGACGTGCGATTACTGATTCATGCATCGCTTGTGGAAGGAACAGGTAATCAATTCGCGGATTACTAGTCGTACCAAAAAGTGTTGATTCAATATCCGTGCCGAAAATGTTCGCGGCCACTAACCCATGAATCTCAATCAGCGTTGCGTATCCGATGACCTGCACTGTTCACCTATGTTTCACGGATAGGAATGCTAACCACTGGGAAATCAATCGGCGGCCGCATTCCATCCGATCGTACTTCGCCCATCCCATCGTTCAAATCATACAGGAGAACGATGCGCGCGCAACGAACAAGGAGCGAACATAAAACTGCTGCCAACCACGTGATGAGCTTAGCAACTGTCCTGGAATAGCCTCCGTGTTGCGCTCGTGACTTGGGACGGGGTGGCAAATAGCACGCCGTACCGCACACATCAACAGAACCGTACTTCACTCTGGCTGCCACCGCTCTCCCTTGCGCCTCGGGAGGAGGCGCCCATGTGCGAAGTAAGTGCCGGGCCTGCACATGTGGGCTGAAAACGATGGAGCATCCACAACCATGGCTGCTGAACGGCGACGGGGAATACGGAGCAACAAAAAAAACACTCTTCCAAACCAACGTGCGCTCTGAACATGTGGGGCGAAATAATTGTGCTCAACCTGCTGAATGCCTGTCGGAAGAACCAGATCAGAGTTCCGTGTTTCTCCCATGAGTTCAGGAAGGCGCTCTCCAAAAGCGTGCATGGGGTCGAATCCAGGAATCCTCAAGAGAGACATGCTTACTTCCCCTCCCGCTGGGCCACAGGTTCCATCCCCACGTGCAGCAGCCGCTGAAACACTTCGGGACCCGCGCGGAGAAACCCCCCCTCTGCAACCTCTCGATGAAGAGGGGCTTGGAGGAGGAAAAGGGGGAGGAGGAGGAGGAGGAGGAGGAGGAGGAGGAGGAGGAGGAGGAAAAGGAGGAGGAGGAGAATGGAAAGGAAAACGGAGGGGGGGGGGACGAGGACGAGGAGAGTGCCCTAACCCGACCGCCCAACAAACCGCCCTCAAGCGAGGCGCACCCTGCTGATGCCGATCACGGGCCCGACGGCTGGACGTGCGGGGGCCCGCGCATTTGGGAGCCTGTGGCACTTCTTCATGGGCCTCCGGAAGCGTCAGTGAGGACGCGCTGCACGAGGACGCGCTGCAAGATGACGACTCCAAGGAAGAAGTCGATGGCTAGTCTCGAAACTTCCCGACCACAGCGAGTGCAGGCAATGCACAATGCGGCCATGCAGGCAATAGGCACGCCACGACGGCGGCAAACGCATTGAGGCCTCCTTCGGGAGTTCCAAAACGGTGCGGTGACAGCCCATGCGGCGACCTCGGCATCCCCAAAGACCTCAGAAAACGGTCCGTCACCGGCGACCCGAATGCCCATACCGTACGGCCACCTCGAATCCCCACACGGTATGGTCACCGCACCGTTCGGGGGCCCCCGACTCTCTAGTCCGCCAGAACCCTCCAGAACCCCTCTGGGACCTCTGGAGACGACCTGTGGACGACCTCCCGTTGGACCAGCCAGAGCGGCGGCCTGATCCGCGGGGACTTGCAAGGCACCGATGCCGCTACTCCCCGGACCTTTCCTGGGGTGCGTCTTGACCCAGATTTCGAGCAGAATCCATCCATGGCGACGCGACGAGGGCTCTCTGGGACGAGCAGCGGTATCGGTATCTCTTCCGGCTCTGATGATCGCCCCGATCCGCGGACCAGGCTCGTCTGAGCCTGCCGCAGGCCGGAAGCCTGCCACTCCACGCCCCCGCTGGTGCCGAACGCGTTCAGGGCAACCGGCTGCTGTCCTCCAGGGGCACCGCGCGGTCCAGCTCGCGAGGTTCGCGCGTCGGAGGAAGCGCCAGCTGTACATCTACGCACCGATCCCGGAGTAGATGAGATCGGAGGATCGCGCCGCATCGCCGATGCATCGGCGACGTCGGCGATGCATCGTCGATTTCGGCGCGGAGAAAATCAGGCTCCACATCTAGCCACATCGTCAGGTCAGGTCCGAGATCAGCCCGAACATCAAAATACAGAACCTGTCAGCAGTGTCCAAATATGAATGCTTGCCCCATGCTTGCCCCGAGACAAGAGGTCGACTTCAACAATCAACACTCTTGCTCGCCGTCGTGCTGGTTCCCTCTTCCCTCATTGTTGATGGGCCTGTTTTCCACCACCACCACCACCACCACCACCACCACCACCACCATAAGTTGGAGGGGGAGGGGGTCCTCCTCCTCATCCTCTTCGTCCTCCTCCTCCACCTCTTCGTCCTCCTCCTCCTCTTCGTCCTCCTCCCCCTTCCTCCTCCCCCCCTCCTCCTCCTGCTCCTCCTCCTGCTCTTCCTCCTCCTCCTCCTCCCCCTCCTCCTCCTCCTCCTCCTCCTCCTCCTCCTTCCCCTCTCCCACTTAGGGTGGTGGTGGTGGTGGAAGACAGGCCCATCACTCTTGCCTCCGTCCCGCCAGCGCTGCCAGACGAGACCGCAACGAGAACGGCCGACGAGACCGCCACAACACCGCTCCGGCCGAGCCCTGCCGGGCAGCCCGGCCCGTGCTGCATCGGGCTCCTCCGTCGGGCGCGCCAGGCTCCACGGAGAGGCGCAGCTCCTCGCACCTGAACCTGACGAGGGACACCTGGCGGCGGCGACGAGGGGCGGCAGCACTCCGCCCCTCGATCGCTCCTCGCTCCTCGCTCGCTCCTCGGTCCTCGATCCTCCTCGGCCCTCGATCCTTCTCGCCCCTCGGTCCTACTCCTCGATGGTCCTCGGTACTCCTCGCTCCTCAGCGTCGATCTGCAGCCCCGTTAACAGCCGATGGGTGCAACAGACGAACCGGAACGGCCGCCCGAATGCTCCTACAGTTCAGCACAGGCACAAGAACTCGTCCTGCTAGAGCACGGTCTCGTCTTGCCGAAAGTGGGGCAGTGAGATGGGGGAAGCCTTACCAGACAGCGACGAGGATTCTGAGAAGCCTTCTGGCTTTCTGAGAAGCCTTCCGCATCTTCGGAGAAGGCTTACAAAGCTCCCCAGAAGGCGGGAGGCCTTCTGGGAAGCTTCCTCCTCTCTACTTCACCTTCCCTCCCTTCTGGTCCCCTCCTCCTCCTCCTCCTCCTCGCCCTTCCCCTTCCTTCCCCCTCCTCTATTCGTTACTCCGCTCCCACCGCCCCCCCTTCACACTCCTCGCTTCTTAGCCCCCCATCCACAATTACACCATCCAATTACTACTCTCCTCTCTCCCCTGACCCTGTCCAGAAGATGTCACACACCCCTCCGCAAGCGGTCCTCTTTCCCACAGGCTTGGGGGCCGAACTGGTGTTCCACACGGCTGTTTCAGTCCGACTGATTTTCCGTGTTTTTCAAGAATGGTGCTGTCGCTGCAGCGTGGGCACACGTTCGAGTCGGAGCCGTGCTCCCGTCGTTCAGACTGGCGCGCTCCCGCCCAAGCGTGGGCCACGTTTCCGAATCCCCCAGACCCTCGCAGACCCCACACGTCCCACAGGGTATCCCAAGACCCGCTGGAGCCGCAGGTCGTCCCACGGGTCCGTCCCGCACAGGTCTGCGAGGTTCCACGGGCCCCCCAGGACCCACAAGGGGTCTCATGTCGTCCCACGGGCCCGCCCCGCAGGTCCGTCCCACAGGTCCCACGCGTCTGACAGGTTCCACAGGTCCCACAAGTCCACCAGGTGTCGCCTGCCCCACAGGTCCCACAGGTCCAACAGGTCCTAACATGTGTCGCGTGTCCCCTGTCTCTGACAAGAGGACCCTCCGGTCCCACAAGTCCAGCCCGTGCCACAAGTTTCACAGGTCTCGCAGGTCTCACAGGTCCCGCAAATCCCACAAGTCCCACAAGTTCCACAAGTCCCGCAAGTCCCACAATTGTTGAAAGTCTCACAAGCCCCACAGGTGACGGAGGCGCCCCAGGTCGCACAGGTCCCAACAGTTTCCTTTATCAGACTGCGCATGGCACGATGGGGTCTTCTGTGAAGCTCCAGGTCGGTAATGACACGCGTCCACGGATAGAGAAACATCCGCGCAATGCGAAGGGTTGGAGAGAAGGATCGGATGTCAGATATGGCGCGGACGCACCTGGCTTGCCCCAAACCCCTCTCCCGCTTCCGTTGCTTCCCCTTTGTCCCTCCCCTCTCTCAATGAGTCTGGTGGCTGTGGCGTAACATTGAACCTTCGTTCTCATTTGACTCGTCGTCGTTCTCCTCCTCCCCCTCCTCCCCCTCCTCCTCCTCCTCCTCCTCCTCCTTCTCCTCCTCCTCCTCCTCCTCCTCCTCCTGCTCCGCCCCTTTTCTCCTCTGGGTCATCGTCCTAGTCCGCATAAACTTCCAACTCCCCCTCTCCCTCGTCGTCCTCCTCCTCAGCACACACATGAAAAGAGCAAGGTGGCATTGTCCTGGCTGCTCGGTTTAGCGCGAAGAGCTGGCGAAACCTGACCACGCCCCCCAGACCGGGGGACCCAGGTGCGAAGCGGATGAATTAGTCACACCAGCCCTTTGGGCGACAGGTGGTCAAACGAGGGCATAGTTCCTCTTCCACAACCTCTCTTCCCTTCGGGGAGGAGAACCCTCCCCCTCCCCTCCCTGATGCTTTTTTTGGAGGGGGTCGCGATGTGTCGGAGGCTCCTTTTTCTGCCATTGGGAGGGCCATTTTTGCCACCCCTGACGCGGATCGTGGCCCCCGAGGGGGGGGCGCAAACCTAGTACCCCCACTCTTTTGACCGACCGCCTCCAAGATGGCCCAAAGAGGACCCCCAGGGCTCCCAGGAGGCCCCCAAGGGGGCCCAAAGACCGCCCCAAGGAGCCCCAAGAGGCCCCCGAAAGGCGCCCGAGAGGCCCCCGAGCGGCCCCCGAGGGGCCTAAGAGAGCCCAGGATGACGTCAAGATGGCCCCCAAGAGGCCCCCGAGCGGCCCCCAAGAGCCTAAGAGAGGCCCCCAAGAGGCCCCCGAGCGGCCCCCGAGGGGCCTAAGAGAGCCCAAGATGACTTCAAGATGGCTTCACGATAGCCCAAGCTAGCTCCGGATAGCTCCCAAGATGCTCCACGGGGCCCCACGGACCACCCCAGGACTGCGCAGGAGGGCCACGGAGCCTCCCCAGGATGCCTGAGATGCCCAGGTCCTTCAAGAACGCGTCGCCAAAATCAATGCAGCAGGCCTTCTCGCCTTTTGGCGTTCGATGGCCTTCCGGGGTCTCAAGATGGCCCCAAAATGGCTCAAGAGGGCCCCAAGAGGGGCCCAAGAGAGCCCCAAAACTGCACCAAGAGCGCCCAAAAGCGCCCCAAGAGCGCTCCAAGATGGGCCCACGGGGCATTTTAGGTACTCTCGAGAGACGACGCTACTTGAAGCTCCCCTTTCTTTGATCGATCTCCTCCAACATGACCTAAGAGCGCTCCCAGGGCTCCCAAGAGCGCCCCAAGAGGGCTCCAAGACCGCTCCAAGACGGCTCTGAGTCGACAAGATGGCCAAGATGGTCACTGCGAGGGTCAATGTTGGCATACCTCTCACGAGGATAGTAGCCCCCGATGGGGGGGACACACATCGAGACCCCCCTCTTTTGACCGGCCGCCTCCAAGATGGCCCCAAGAGGCCCTCCAGGGCTCCCAAGAGACCCCCAAGCTCCAAAAGGTCTCCAGGAGGCACCCGAGAGGCCCCCCAAAGACCCCCGAGCGGCCCCCAAGGGGCCCAAGAAGCTCCCCCGAGGCACCCACGACGCCTTCTCGTCCTCGTCCTCCTCCTCCTCCTCCTCCTCCTCCTCCTCGTCTTCGTCCTCCTCATCGTCCTTGTCCTCGTCGTCCTCTTCGTCCTTGTCCTCCTCCTCCTCCTCCTCCTCATCCTCCTTTTCCTCCTTCTCCTCCTCCTCCTCCTTCTTCTCCTCGTCCTTTCGATCTCGTCCATATCCTGAGTAGGTGTCCTCGTCTCCTCTCCTCCTCACCTCCTCTCCTCCTCCTCCCCTCCTCCTCCTCCCTCCTCCTCCTCCTCCTCCTCCTCCCTCCTCCTCCTCTCCTCCTCCTCCTCCTCCTCCTCCTCCTCCCCCTCCTCCTCCTCCTCCTCCTCCTCCTCCTCCTCCTCCTCCTCCTCTCCTCCTCCTCCTCCTCCTCCTCCTCCTCCTCCTCCTCCTCCTCCTCCTCCTCCTCGTTCTCGCCATCCCCCTCGTCTTTGTTATCCTTCCCCCTCGAACCTCACTCTCTTAGTCCTCGTCCTCCTTCACCTCCTCGTCCTGCTCCTCTCGCCTCCTCCCCCCGCACTCCTCCTCCTCCTCCTCCTCCTCCTCCTCCTCCTCCTGCCTGTTCATCCTCCCCGCCCCCCGCGCGGGCCCAGGAATTGCCCCGACAATCATTCCAAGACGGCTCCCCTCGTGGCCACGGAGCCTCCCCAGGATGCTGGAGATGCCCAAATCCTTCAAAAACGTAGCGAACATCAATGCATCAGGCCTTCTCGCTTTTCTGTTTTCGATGACCTTCCAAGACCTCAAGATGACTCCAAGATGGCTCACGATGGCTCCTCCTCCTCCTCCTCCTCCTCCTCCTCCTCCTCCATCCATCATCCATCATCATCATCATCATCATCATCAACATCATCCATCATCATCATCATCATCATCATCCTCATCATCATCATCACACATCATCATCATCATATCATCATCATCATCACCATCATCATCATCATCATCAGCATCATCATGATCATCATGATCATCATCATCATCATCATCATCATCATCATCATCATCATCATCATCACATCATCATCATCATCATCATCATCATCATCATCATCATCATCATCATCATCCTTCTCCTCTTCCTTCTCTTCTTCTTCTCCTCCTCCTCCTCCTCCTTCTCCCCCTCCCCTTCCTCCTCATCCTAACTCTCTTAGTCCTCGTCCTCCTCATCCTCGTCTTGCACCTCATGCCTCCTCCTCCTCATCTTCCTCCTCCTCCTCCTCCTCCTCCTTCTCCTCCTCCTCCTCCTCCTCCTCCTCCTATATCCTCCTCCTCCCCCTCCTCCTCCTCCTCCTCCTTCTCCTCCTCCTCTTCGCCCCCCCCCCCCCCCCCACGCGGGCCCAAAGATGGCCCCACCACGCCGTCCAGGCCGGCCTCCCTCGCTGATTGACTGTGCGTGTCTCTTCCTCTCTCCCCCCCGTCAGCTCTCATGGGCATCGTTTCTGGATTGGCTGGCGGGAATACATTTTGATCGCGACCGCGTCGACAGAAGTCGGGCGGCGCCCAGGAGCGTAGCGCACGAGCAACGGCCTAAATTACGCGCGCAAGGAGAAAGAGTAGCGAAGAGAAAAGAGAAAGCGGGGAGAGAAACAAACAGGAGGCGAGCCCCGCTGCCGCTCAGGGGAGGGCGCTGACGACCAGGAAGACCTTCCAGGCGACATGCAGCACCAATATGGCTGGTGGGCATACCTTTTCCGGTCGCGGCCGCGAGCGAAGAGCGCAGGCGGCAACAGCAGCTGCCCGGGGCACGGACACAGACCAAATTAGCTGCAGGGCGCAGAACAGGCCGGCCGGGCCAGCTCACAAGGCGGCCGCTGAGGCAGCAAGGTGAGGGCTGACTGGCTGACGGGCACCCCGGGAAGCTCGAGCATCGTGCAGCCCAGAGCAAAATGCCAGGGAATTCGG